CTTTGAGATGAGACGAACGCGGTCATGGCCATGCAAAAGGTAGAATTTGACCGATATGTGGGGTTTAACTTCCCAAAACCACCACATGATTATGAGAGACGCCGCAGTGGAGGGCTCCGGAAATTTCGACCACCTGGGGTTTTTTAACGTGTGCCCGAATCTGAGCACACGGGCCTACAGTATTCCCGCCTCCATTGGAAATGCAGCCGCCGCTGCCGGGATTTCATTCCGTGACCAGCGGGTCAGCAGCCGAATACCTTAGCCACTAGACCACCGCGGCGGGGCCAAAAGATACGATTCAAAGCTTCAAGCTCGCCACTATGAACTCTGCATCAACGAACGTGGCCACACGCACACTCAAAAGCACTGTTTCGTACAGCTAGCCACAAGACAAATTGACTGGCAGTACTGCGTTACTAACGCATTACAGGCTATACACTTGTACCAGAGCAGTAAGTTGGGGCTCGGGACGGCGACCTTGCTGCATAACTCTGAAGATAGTTGGGGACCTACGCTAAACTAATGCTTCCTTTGACTATATGCCTGGAATATCGCTTTGTTTTCCCTGGAGTGACTGCTACAGGAACAATCGCAGAGGCGACGCATTCTGGTACGTGCAGGGACCAGGCGTCATGAAAGAGGGCTTCCCGATGCCACCTACTGCCTTACTCACAATGTCGTCTCCGCAGACACGACCTTGTCAGTGGACACGAATGTGTTTATTGACGAGGCAATGCCTCTCTCCTTAAACACACAACTTGATGGGGTTTGACTCAACGTCTCCTCTATAATACATAGCCTGGAACGTGGGCCACGATTGCGGCACTCTTTACCCACATATCACTCACATATCCATCCCCAGATATCATCCCCACATTATCCCCACATATCAATCAATCAAAGAATAATGGACAACGAGCGCATGTCGTATATCCTTCGAAATATTTCTACGCCAATATAAGTGCTCAGCGCAATAGTCGTGATTTATAATAACGACTTTCAAGAACGCTCCTCACCTGGCTGCAGCGCGGCATCCCTCGGAGACATTTAGTATCAAAGCATAACTTAATAGATGGATCAATTGACTGTCAGAATAAGTGATACAGATTACTGAATGGTCGAGGTGGAAGAACAGCCGGTTTTCTAGCGATCACATGGGATTTTTGCGGCCTCTAGTGGAGCAGATCTAAACCACGAAACTCGTTTTACGTGGCCTCTGAGATGAGCAACAAAATACGAATACACGAGAGAACGCCGGTGTGCGAGTACAGTACAAGGCAGACACCATTGTCAAGGATTGAGCTGGCATGCATAATATATTCGAATTTAGTTGCGTAGGTGGTCGAGACATTCGTTCGTTTTCACATAACGCCCTTTTTTTTTTGTTCGTGTGCAGTTGTGCCGCGTGAAGGCCCTTGGAACCAGCGTGCCGTTCGGCATCGCGGTCTACGACGTGGACTACGACGACTACTACAAGTGTTCTAGCCTAAACATATACGGTGCCCACAGCCGCTTGAAGGCGCTTCGCAAAGTAGTAAATTACTTCAAGAGTCCTGCGGTGCCTTACAGCGAGGTAGCCTACAGAACGGGCGACGTACCCTGGTTCAACTGTTGCGCTGGCGAATGCTGTAAAAAAACAATGTCTATAGTCTTTTTTTCTATAGTTTTTTGTCTCGACAATGTTTCCAAAGTTTGTTTCAGCCCCTTTCTGCAATGTCATGGTTTTCTGCAAACGATGACCTTGATGACGTGGACGGTAATTGGGGACGTAGTTTGAATACGCCTATTAACTGTGGCAACTATCAAACTGATTGTTCAGTGGACTGCCTATTTCTGTCAATGCTGGTTGACAGAAGCATAGCGAGCAGCGTGAATGCTGTTTCCGGTCCTTTTTATGCGAAAGGTGTGGAGGCTCAACTTTCCAGCGTCCGTTTGATGATACAGAGGCCCAACTTTCCAGCGTCCGTTTGATGATACAGAGGCTCAACTTTCCACCCATGCGAGTGACGCGCTTCAATGCAGCAAACACAGCCTACCAAGATCCGCTATAGGCTGTGCTTGTCTGAGAAGCCGTACGCTAAGTCTACAAGCGTGATCGCACTGGCATACGAATAATGTGCAACGCATAACCTGCACAATTACGTCAAGATTGCCGCTCCTTGGAGCAAGTAAAAAGTGCTCTCATGACATCAACTTCATGTGAACATGTTCGCTGAATAAACAGTTTCAAGATGACTCCCCTGGACCTGGCAATATATATACAGTGACCTGCATAATGTCTGCATTGGCTATCTCAGTTTACTACACCAGCGAACTTTAGCTACCATTCTCTAAGGCTTGCGTATTGGGAGTTATTAATTCGGATCGGCTGTATGGCAGCTAATCAGAAACTATGCCGGCTAGAGTGAGCTCCTCATGGTCCATGTCTCCGAAGGAGGTAAAGTCAGTGTTGCATGGTGGTCTAGATACGAAAAGGACTGGTGATAACGTAATCAAAACTGCAATTTTTTGAGCAACTTGTTTTTATACCAAACGTCTGTGGCGTTCTAGTGGCGTGCATTGACAAGCTGGCGTAGCGGTGGTTCATTATCTCTTCGGGCCCTTCTTTAAAGCCGTAACCTTCAGGTTGTTTTCGTGGCCATGCTTATCTTTGCAAGAGCTGTGGGGGTGATGATAGCGCCACTTCTCTTTTAGGCTATCTTGCACCTTTTTCCCAGTAGTGTCGGCTGGCTTCTGCTCGTTTTCTTGATCAGTCTCTCTGTCCGCCGATTTCACGTGACGTCCCAGCTTATCGTAATGCCTTCGGTGCAGTCCTTCTGCACTATCCGGGAACTATCCGGGAACTTTGTTGGTCCTGCCATGCCCGTGTACTCCACGTTCGAAAATTTTATCGTATTTATTGCTGCGAAGACTGCAATACCCGTAGAATCCACGTTCGGTAAGTTGTGTCGTATTTACTGTTGCAAATGTTAAACACATTTTTCTTTGGGCTCAATGGTGGCTATCTTTGTCGTAAATTACGGTAGCCTATGCCACGGTACTTCTAACACCGTGGCATGTACACTTTCCGCTTTCCACTTGGCATCCTCTCCGATTCTTTTGTTGGAGGAACGGAATTTGATTCATTCGCGTTATCACTGTTTTTTTATGTCTCATTAGTCCTAGTTTAAGCTTCGCTCCACTTTCTCGGCTACTCAAATTTTGAAAAAGAAAGTTCTGCCTACGCCCCGACGTTCTTGCGATGGTTACGATGAACCACATGCGTTAGATGGCGAACGCTCCCATTTATTGGCTCACAGATCCAAGGGCCCGTAGCCGCATTTCCTTGGGGCTCATAGGTAGCTGGTGAAACGGTACACTTACAGTACTACCGCTGCTCGTGCAGCCAGCAATTGCGCATCCGGTGCGCGCCACAGTTCAGACACGCACGACTGCGGCACTGCGCTATAGTGCTCTTTGACCGAAAGACCAAGCAGCAGTTGACTTCCGCTAGGCGTTTCGCGAGTGTCCGCCACTGAGACAATGACGCCAAACAGGGTTCAGTTGGGTGGAATTGAAGAGGTGCCAGAACTACAACCAAATGTAGCCAAAGTAACCATGTCATCTATTACTATCGCCCCATTTGTCACCAAATAGAACAGGAGTGGCATTATGAACAGTCTTTACAATTGATGAAAAAATAAAACAATTGGAATAAGTAGAGCAAGAAAAATATTAGATGCAGCCAAGAAATTGTCGTAGTGCCAACTGGAAATTTCAATCGCCAAACATGTTGAAGTGTAGCCAAATTCGGCGCAAAGTAGCGGCCAATGGCAACCCTACCGCCAAGGACAAAACATGGAAGAGCATCGTTTTTATCCTCCCCTCCCCCGTACTTGCACGGCGTCTAGTATAGTAGGACGTAAAGTGGTCACCTCGCATGTGCTGTGCCGTGATGGCAGACAGAAAATGTGTGGTCTAGAACACGCCTGTTCATTTTTATCAGTGCCATTTTCATTGTCATCGTCAGTGGTGGCTGCGGAACGCAATGCCAACGCCAGACAATGGAAAAGCCCTGATTTTAAAGGGGGTATGCTACTGACACAAAAACTTTGCCTCGCGTTTTTCTGCTGCAATGTGTTGCTCAGGCCGTGTTAGTCTTGACACGACACTACGTTTATTGCAGGACGCGACAGGTAAATAGGTACATGTCCCACAGTATCCACCAGCTTCAGTTTGGGAGAGCTCCAAACACGAGAAGCCGCCGCGTGCAACTATCGCCACCTTGCGTGCGCAGCTTTCTACAACGTCAACACACAGAACTGTGACACACTTCGTCACGGTTTGCATCAAGAATTACTTTCGAATATGAAACGGGACTGCGATATTGATATGTGGGGTTTAACGTCCCAAAACCACCATAAGATCACGAGAGACGCCGTAGTGGAGGGCTCCGGAAATTTTGACCACCTGGGGTTCTTTAACGTGCTCCCAAATCTGAGCACACGGGCCTACATTTCCGCCTCCATCGAAACTGCAGCCGGGATTCGATCCCGCGACCTGCGGGTGAGCAGCCGAGTACCTTAGCCACCAGACCACAGCGGCGGGGCAAACGGGACTGCGGTGTCACCAAACACAAAACTTACAAATCGTGAAATTTGCGATATAAGCACAATGTTAAAATCACTAGTCACCAGCACTACGTGCTTCAAAATTTGTACATTTATTATACTCTGCTGAAGCCTTCGCTGCACCAACTGTGCATGAAAAAAATGGCAGCTTCACAAACGGGTAGTGACTTGGACACCATTGGCTCGGTGTACACAAAAGTCCGTGTGCACTCGAAATGGAGTTGAATGCGACTTGAATTGGCGGAGGATGACAGTATAGCTTCCGCGATTCTGCCGTCAGTGGCATCGGGCGTTTTACCGCAAGCGCCATTCTGAGTGGGCGGGGAACACCTATACCGCAATACAGCCCAGCACTGGGTGAGGGCTGGGTGTCTCGCTCTGCTTGTGTGCTCAAAGTTCGTCCCTCTTGTTTTCTTTATCCCTTTCCTCATTCGCTTCCTTTTCCTCTTTCTCCTCCTTTTCATCTTCAACCTGCGGGGAAAATGACCGCGTTCAACATGAATGCTTTGAACAAAAAAGAACATACACAGGCCTGGCAAGAATAGGTAATACATTCGTAAACTCAGAAAATAGAAATATTGTAAACAGTACTGCTACCTAAATGAAACAATTATCTATAACGTGATCGATTTTCTACTTGAGTTCTGCGGCTATGTTCATCTCACAGTGAACGAACGCCTGTAAAGCCGAACATGTTCTCCAGGTCACTCCAGTTTGTGTTTACCGAGGGCCTATATGGCACCAATAGAACCAAGTACGATAAGCACTACAACGAACACTATAAAGAGGCAATTACAATGGTCAGCCGGAGAGAAATACCAAAGAATAAATACTCCGCCTGTGTCACGCAATCGCTCCGACAAGCCGGAGTGATTGAAGAACTTTGCTCCAGAGGGCTGGAGTAAAAAATATTCCGAACAGGGCATTCTATAGAGGACAGGTATTTTTATTACCACCTGGGAGTTTACAGTCTAGGTTTGGCAACCACAAGCACAACAGTTAGCATTATCAAAAAAAAAAAAGGCACGACAGAAAACGTTGATTGCATGGAATGAAGCCTTATAAGTACGATCTCCGTCGAACCATTTGCTTAAGAGGACTATATGTAGGCCTTCACACAGAACAGACACTTCTGTTCTGTGTGAAGTGTCTGAAGTGTCTAACTTTGCAGCGATTTCTCTGGGAACTGTATATATATATTTTTAAACAGAGATTTTGAAGCTTTTGTAATGAGTTGGAGCCTTTGACGCCACACTCGTTACGCAATTCGCGTTGACTGACACCTGGTTGTTTCTTTTGCTGTTCTAAAGCGTTTCAGTACTCGTATCAGCCAGTGCTCTTATCAGCGTGCGTCCGTCCGCCCGTCCATGCGTGCGTCTGTTCGTGCGTCCACACGTCCATCTGTGTGTCCGTCCCGGCGGTTGTCATGCATCCGCTCCTGCGTGCGTCCATGCGTCCATCCATATATGCAGCCATCCGTGCGTCCATCTATGCATCTGTCTGTGTGTCCGTTCATCCACGTATTCAACACTCCAAGTACTATCATCTCGCATCTTTTCATCATATATTTCTCATATAAAAGCACCGTCATCCAGCGGACATTCCAAGGAGTGAACGAGAGGAGGCACACGCAGACTTTTTCACGGCTTGCGCTTCGTGTCTACTTCCCACCTTTAACCACCTCGAGTTCATGGTACATACTAGTTCACTGTGTTCGTGGCACCGCGGCCCAATGCTCGCTACACGTTTCTAAAACCAAGGAGGTTACGCCCAGCGAGTATAACGTAGCAACCCTTTCTTGTCAGATAGCGCTCAATGTGCACGCCAATGGCTGCTAAGGGATAATGAGAGACAGAAGAATTTGGCTTTTAGTTAACGCACACGCTGCGATTTTTATTTTATTGTTCAACAACGCACACAAGAAATGTCCCACCAGCACAACCTTTGTGGTCCAAATCTAAGACTGGTTACACACTACGACTACTGCTACTACCACTCTACGAGGGATGAACGGGTGCAGGTTTAAGGAGCTTCAGCCCTAAAGAGACGTACCCCTGCTGGATGTGCATCGCCGCACGTGATGTCGATGAAAGCGCGGAGCCCCTCTTCCGTTTGCTCGCCGTTGAACTCAACAACCTGGAGAGGAGAAGAAATAATAATGCGCGGAATTAAGTATGAGGAGTAGATCAGCGAAATAAAAGCACCGAAAATTCCGTCAAGCAGAAAACAAAACTCGATCCGTCTTTTTTTTATTTACAAAGAGTGTTATGTTGCAAAAGTTACACACCGTTTTTTTTTCAAACGCCGTACAAGTGGCACCCCGCAGTTCTCCGGCACCAATGTAAATTTTGTGATGAGGTGGCAAATTTGGTCTATATGGTGACGAATTCGACTAATATTCGCCAATCTTTCCTTCTAACAGAAGCATTGTCAGAATCACTATAAATATCTTCAGATCGGCGTAACGGGTTTTCTGCGGATAATCAAATCTCATTTTGTGATCATCTCCACGATATCTCATGAAAATCTGGATGAATTGTTTTTTGTATGTAACGACACACGAAGAAAAATGAGACGCTTATTCTCATTCATCCGTACCAAAAGTACGTTACTTGCGACATTTGTGCGTCAGAAATGCGGGGCACGTTTCGATCTGCGTGCCATTCTGCGCGTGACTTTCCAATTTGTTGCTATCGCGTTCATTGAATTGCCTTTGTGGCAAAGCTATGACTTTCTACTCTGTAATACAACACCCTTTTTTGGACGTGCGGTGTAGGCTGTTAGGGCGTCTCTTTTTTGTTTGCGTAAAGAGTGATATATGTGGGCACGTTATCTGCGGGAATGAACAAAGGTTTAGTGACACAACAAAACTCCTATAGTTAACGGCGCGGCCGCAAGGCGCGGCAGTTTGTGCAATACGGATTTAATATGTTATTGTTCTCTGGTTCTTCTATGGGAAATGAAGGTTGTGCCTACCGATTTGATTACCGAATATTACGGTTGGGTTAAAAATGTTGGTTGAAATTTTGTTTTGTATCATTTATAGGGACAAAAAAAACTCAGATACGCGTTTGCATATATAAAATACGCCCTGTATATTGTAAAAACATCGGGAAATTCGAGGGTAAACCAGCTAGCACAGTTGCCTTTCGCAAGAAAGAGCAGGAGCACCGTGTTGAGTGGGCGGAGTTGCCCATTTTTTAATCTTGCGACTGCATAAACTTTGTGGACCCTTTAAAAAATATTCATTTCGTACTTGAAGGCCCATAAGGAAGTATATAGAGCAGTAAAAATTAGAAAAAATATTAGACAAAAATAAATAATAAAACACTATATCATAAAATACATAAGCAAGAGTAAAAACAAAACAGTTGATGGTTAAACATCGGCTAAAGAAAAGCTGTTACAACAAAAAAAGCAGTCACAATTCAGACACATGAAAATAAATATTTTCGTTGGAGGGGAGGTAGAAGTCTTCATAGCGATTAGCTTAGTCTTAGGAATGACGATAGCCCCGCCGCAGTAGTCTAGTGGCTAAAGTATTCTCGGCTACTATATCTCAGGTCGCGGGATCCAATCCCGGCTGCGGCGGCTGCAATTTCGACAGAGGCGAAAAATGCTGTAGGCTCGTGTGCTCAGATATGGGTGCAAGTTAAAGAACCCCTGGTGGTCAAAATTTTCGGAGCCCTCCACTGCGGCATCTCTCATTATCGTATGTTGGTTTTGGGACGTTAAACCGCACAAATCAGTCAAGTGAAATCGAGAATGTCGTAACGTAATTAACGAATAAGTCATGATTGACCATGTGTGTGATTTGGGTAGGCAGAGCGTTCCATTCACGAATGTTGACGAGAAGTGGCGAGTCATAGAAGAGATTAGTGCCTACAAAAACAGGTTCAATTTTATACCGAAGGTCTGATCGGAGAAATACATGACCAGCCACCCTGACATCGAAGGTATCGCACGAAGACTGATTGTAGTGAAGCTTTCGAAAGAAAGACAATAGTGTCAGCATTCTAAGTTTTTCTGGAGGAGACAAACTAAAAAAATTTCGATGCTAGTGATGCTTGATTTGTGCAATTATTTTTTTTTTTGACGAAGTGACCAGACATAAAATGTACAGACTCCAACGTCTGTATGGAGTATGTCTGATGCGCATTTCGAATTAAGGAGAAGTATTCAATTTGTTAACGTACTGGGGTCTTACAAGCAGAAGGTTTAGTCTCCGAGTTTACCGAATGCATATTTCATGCCCGCTGGCATTGAAGCCTCTCTGGACACTGGCATAATCTTCTTCGTGTTTTCAGTATGTGTGAGCTCCCGCAAATGTACTGCCGCGGTTACATGTTGTGGCGTTTTGTCTCAGATGCCAGAAACAACCCATAAAGAGCGTGAAGATATTCATTGAAAAAGCGTACAGACAGCACACACGTTCGCCCAGAAACGTCAAGCGTAGAAACTCTCACCTCATTGGTCTCCTTCTTGTACAGCCTCCAGGTGGGGAAGCTGTGGATCTCTGTGTGCTCGTTCTCATTAGTCGTGACGTCCATCTTGGCGATGAGCAAGTCCTTGCGGTCCTTGTACTCGGGGGCCAGTCTATCGCAGATTACCGTCATAGCAAAACAGCGAATGGACCAGGGCGTGTAGAACAGCACAAGGACGTTCTTGGTCTTGTCGAACACTACCTCGTCAAAGTTCTCTTGCACGACCACCTGGGCGGATTGCGATTCAAAGTCCCCTTGACCTGGCAAAAGAGGTTCGTCTTTGATGGTGCCGTCCAGCACGCCCTGGACAAAGCTTTTGATGTCCTCTGCCTCGAGCGAGTTCGTCTCGGGCTTGAAGCGAATCGCATATTGGGGACGCTCGAGGTTTGCGAATCGAAGGGCGGGAACATCGCGCTTCCCCATGAAGAAGTAACTGACGATCATCCTGACGTCCTCTTGATCAACGTCGATGGTCACGAAGACCACCTGCCAAGTGAACAGAGAAATCAGAGTATGAAAGCACAGTATAACAGTAAACCTATAGAGAAAATAGGAGAGCGGAATGGTCAGGGTAGAAACAGGGAGGGATACCACACTCATCAGGATTGCAGCTGCGGCAACCTCAAATCATGTGATGCACCGTTATCTGAAATGACATTGCACGAGCCTGCAGATTACACCCTATTTCATTGCCAGAAGAAAAGCAAAGAACGTGTATTTGAAAGCTAATGCAACATTTACAACACCACTCGATATCGCTTGCCAATCGAATAAACTCGCACATTTACAGCTGCGCTGCCCAAGAGTTCTTACGGCGTGAAATAGGCTAAACCTGCAATCGATGTAGATCCTTCTTTTCAAACACAAAACAGGAAATTATCAATGAGAAAAGAAGTATGATAGCTATATATGTGATTTTTGTGTGGTAAAGAAACTTTTGTCACGCAACTGAAGTAGGTCACCAGCTGCTGATAATAACCACTCAGTTAGTTAAAAAGATCAGTGATTAAGGACATGGATTTTATCTGGACAGGATGCCTTGCAAAGAGTCGTTACTGTGTGAATTGCCTTACCTTGTACCTGAAGGCAGCAGCAGTCTCCCTGAAGTTCTCCAGAACTTCCGTCATATCGCCACTGTCCTTGCTGTAGAAGAGTATGCTGTACTGTCGAACAGGGACGTTGATCAAGTCCTTGTAATTCTGAAATGAAACAATGAGCCGAATGGCTTTAACTGGCCGCTAGCCCGCAAACCAGTATACACTGCACATGAAAATCATCACATGCACGACGACCTCATTATGCACTCCCAGCGCACTTATACATTCGGCAAGGTGTAAGTTCAGCTGTTAATATTTCAGGCAAAAAAAGGCAATTCCAAGTGTTTGGAATTGCCTTTTTTGTGCTACTACCTTCCATGTTGGCAGCACTCAGAGTCCTAAAATATCCAAAATACATCTGGAAACATTAACCACTCAGCTGGGACCTCAAGGTCTTTGGAAACGGTAGAGAAAACAGCATAAGAAGAACGGCGGGAAGAATGACAATATAGAGAGGGACTCAAAAAAAAAAAAAACTGGTTTCGGAGCCGGCTGGACAGTCACTCTGGAAGCATGGACCGAATCAGTGTCGAAAAATCGAGTCAGTTTTAAAGACGATAGTCTTTCTTAGGGACCTTCAACGCAAAAATTTTGGTCTGTCTGTCTGTCTGTCTGTACATTAGTCTCTACATTGTCTGTTCGTCCACTCTTAAAAACGGCCGACCCCATTCGCAGCACCCACCAATGTTGCTCAAGGGTTAGCGTTCACACTTATGCAATTGTCCATTATAAAGCAATTATAGCGCATGTCTCGGGCACCATAACAACGCGTATATATTCTACATGTGCATATTTTACTAGAAAAGGCTTACATAAAGAATTTTAAATACCGTAGCTCTTATCACGCTGCGCTGACCATGGAACGCTTGCACGAAAAGGCGAGTGTGTCCAATGCTTTGCTAAGATGAGACTGTGGTGGAACCTACCCATCGCCTTGCATTCTACATTTTATCACCTCTGAGAGGGGCGCGCACACCCATCTCAGAGCCACGCGCTTCGTTTTCCAAGAAAACTGCCACGTGGCACTTATGTCTCACTTGTGTCGTGACTTGATGCGCTCGTTCGCCTCCGCTACCCGCTCGAGGCACGCTAACGCAGCGCCTCCAGAATACAGTTCACCGATTTTCTGGCACAGAACATGAAATAAATTGTTCACTCTCTTCACACGCACGACTATCGTCTTTAGACGACATTAGCAGATTAGCATGCAAATACGAAACATTTTTTAATATCTAATTTTAACGTTGCAACCATTAAACTAAAACATGCTGGAGTGTCTATTTTAGGAGCTCGCTCCTTTTGCGGGGGGGTTGTTTCTCGTCGTTGCACCAGTGCGAAAAGGGGGGGGGGGGGGCGCGGCTGTTTTCCCGACGTGCGCCCTTCCATCTCGAAGGTTAAGCGTGAGACAGACGCGCGATTTCCCGTGCGATACGGTCTGCGGTACGACGATGCGACAGCCGGAGTGGTGACGTTTCATGACGTATCATCGCATGAGATTGTGGTTATAAGAGGGAAAAGAAGAGAAAAGTGAGGCTCGTAACTGTCCGCATCAGCGTGCGACACCTTAATAGTAGCTCACATGGGATGGGAGGAAGGAGGGAGAAAAAGGATAGGATTGAAGGTATAGAAAGAGAGAGTTGCGCTAGGACTGCGAGCGACTACATAAAAAAGATTGGAGAGATGGAAACACGGTCACAGGAGACCGATGATGGGGCACCACTTGCGAAAGCTCATGTCGGTGACAGGAGGTGGCGTAGGAACAACCCAGTTGGCCAGATCTGCGCTGTCGTCGGGGATCGCGAGGACACAACCGGTCGGCACGGATTCCAGCGAGCGAGCGACCACGCACTGTCGCATAGCCGGTGCGGCGAGCATCATACCGGCCAGATATTTTCGTCGCCGCAACGCAACACCACATGGCAACAGCCAATCACATCACAAGCAGACAAGTGACGTCACGCCGCTGGTGGCGCCATCTCTCTGTAGCCGCTCCCATCACCCGTGATCCAGGTCAGTTCAAGCGAGTCGACGGAGAGGCGCGATCTTGGATTTGCTCACATCGCCGACTGCGGCGGCGTGACAAACATCGAGTACATTTCCACGGTGACGTGATATTACACCGAATTTAATAAAGTGATGTTTGAAGTGTGCCATTTCAGCACGACAACGCCCGTTTTGAAAGCGTTAGTGAGATTGGAGATTGGGAGTAGCGATGCAAGGTTATTTCACAGGTAAACGCTATCAGCGTTTCTGCGCTGGCTATTTCCGCGATGTGTGTGTGTTCAGTTTTTTTGTTGCGTTTTCGTCGTTGTCACCCGCGTACTAGGCCCATATGTGCATCGCAGAGGTGCAGAAGATAGTTCTCCGTCTTCGGAGTTCTCTCGGACAACTAGATTTGAGTTTCTGTTCAGCTTAGATGAGCAATAAGTTTTTGAGCCCGAGTCTGAAATCTCTGTTCTTTAATGGGGATTGAGACGTGTATTCTTGTCGGAACTTTGTGACAACTAATCGGTATTCCCATAACCAGTACTTTCACGCTAGCGCTAAGCTATAACTGTGTAATGCCAAAGATTTTGTGAATAGGTATACTTGGCTAGTGGCTTACAGCACAAACAGAGAAACGGGCCTTTTCTAGGTCTGAACTAGGCCTCCATTGCAGACCAGCACAATACAAAAAAAGCATGGCTCGCGTCGTATGACCACGTACGTACATGCACAAACTAGCGTCGAGAAAAAGACCAATTACTCACTTCCTTCGTCAAATCCGATACGAGGGGCAGGCTGTTCACGGCGACGAATGTCCGAATCCTGTCACAGGTAGGCTTCAATGCAAGCACGTTCCTGCCCTCGTCAAACTGCAAGAATAGAAGGGAGCGTCAACATTCATTTTTGTTCAAACGTGCGTTCATATGCAGGCACGACTTGCACTGAAACCTTGCCATGATACTAAGATAAATCTCTAGCTCACTAAAAGAAGCTTCTAAGAAACCTACTGCGAGCCAATCTACGGCACAAGGTAGTTTATTTACGATGTAATTAAAGTGCACAAAACATAGATTGCAACAAAACTGAGGCCAGCGAATGAGGAACAGAATGCAAGTTAACACCTGCTAAAACTCATAACATCACGGGCCAAGCGCGTAGCCAGAATTTTTTTTTTGGGGGGGGAGGGGATTTTTTTGGGGGGGAGGGGTTTTCGGGAGAGGCACCCAATTAAAGTGACCATTTTTCTCCGCTCTCTATGCATTGGCGGAAACATTTTGGGGTAGGGAGGAGGGGGATGAGTCTGGTGTGCTACTCTGGCTACGCCCGTCATGGGCAACTGTGACGACACCAGAATATTTATTTATTTATTTTCAAATACTGCAGCCCAATACAGGGCTATTGCAGGATTGGGGTACATTTACATGAACAAAATACACTGATTACAAGGTTGACATAAAAAACATATATGCAGCTGAATAAGAGCCACACGTATTATTTCGTTCAGAAACGTGTACACCTGTTTTAATCTCAACTAAAACTGTTAAAAGGCCACTGCACAAGTAAGTCTCCATGAGAAGCGAATGTGTAGTTTTATGGGCGGAGCTCCTCTAATTGTAACATTGTCCTACGGAAGGCGTAACCGAGAGAAGAAGAGACGAGAGAAAAAAAAGCCAATATCTCCTGGACAGTATAATAGACGGCGCTGTATCTTAGAAGTACATAAAACTGCAGTTGAGTGAGAATATTTTAGATGGCGCTGCACCACTACGCTCCGACTCTACAAGAATTAGAGGCCAAATAAGAGGGAAGTGGACTGTGCTTCAACCTCACTTTCGTGAAACAAGGAAAACTCATTCAACAGGCACTACCACCATTGATGTACGCAGACAATATAGAGATAATGGCCGACAACAAGGGAGATTCGCAGAGATTGTAGGACATCTGCGGTAATGAGGGAGATAGGTTAGACATCATATTCGGCAAGGAAAAACCAGCACTCATGAGTTTTAATGATAATGAAGGTAGTGAGCTTAGAATACAGGAGGTCACGCTAGAGATAACAGATAAATACAAATATCTGGGTGAGTGGATAAGCGATGGGGCTGAGTACGTAAGGGAACACGATATATACGTGACGACTAAAGGTAACAGGAACGCAGTGGTGATGAAAAACAGGGCACTGTGGAATTACAATAGATATGAGGTTGTGAGAAGAATATGTGAATGTGTCATGGTTCCTGGTCTGATGTTTGGCAATGCGGTCTTGCACATGAGATCAGAAGTTCAAGCAAGATTAGAAATTAAGCAACGATAAATAGGTAGGCTTGTCTTGGGAGCTCACGGGAATACACCAAATCAGGGGGTACAAGTTGACATGGGATGGACATCATTTGAGGGCAGGGAAGCTAGGAGCAAGATAAAATTTGAGAAGCAATTAAGAAAAACGGGGGAGGAGCGTTGGGCTAGGAAAGTATTCAGCTACTTGTACATGAAGAACGTCGACACAAAACGGAGGAAGCGAACGAGAAGATTGCACGGTAAATACATAGAAAACAGCAGGGGGCCAAACCAAAAAGAGATATTGATTAAGAAGAAGTTGAAGGAAGCTGAGACCGATATGTGGTGAATCGGCATAATTAAGGAGGCCGCACTAGAGATCTATCGAACTTTTAAGCAGGAAATTGCCATGGAAGGATCTATAATAATACACGGGGTAGTTCTCTACTGTTTGAGGCCAGGGCGGGAGTATTGCGAACCAAGTCATATCGGGCCAAATACGAAGGGGTAGACACGGTATGCAGTGCGTGTGGAGAGGAAGAGGAAACTGGCGAACACTTGATAATGTTCAGGATGATGGCGCAGAGTTTTTCAAAGCACTGGAGTTTAGGGACAGGGAGGGCAAAATAGACTTTAAGCGGGTAGAATTAACTAGAAGGAGGTTATCTGTGTGCGGGCTAAAGTCGAGGCACGAGTGAAAGTTGAACCCTTCACTGCAAAGTACGAGTCCTCAACCTCACTATTTAAAGGAAAAAAATAAATCTAGTTTTTGGTTCACTACGTATTACGGCTTGGTGGCGTGAGCCACCACCCGATCTAAAGGGTACAACCATATCAATCCATCCATCCATCCATCCATCCATCCATCCATCCATCCATCCATCCATCCATCCATCCATCCATCCATCCATCCATCCGATCGGCTGCTGCGCGGGTTGCGCCTGGGTGCACGAGGAAGGAGTGCCTCTTTCAAGGCGTATTCGGTTGGGCGTTTTGGGCGCTTTAGAGCGCTCTGAAAAGTGACCATGCCTTCGGTTGGTAGAATTTGAGTGCTCGAGCTACCTTCGGTTCGTTCTTTCAGAGCGTCAGCCTCTGACTTGGAGCGCTCCCGACTGCTCTGACTTCGAAGTGAAAGCGTGGCGTGCTCTGACCGAGAGGATGGATCACGTGACACAACCCAGCCAATCTTGCGGCTGCCGGCAGGTGAATGAGGCTAGGAGGGCGAGCATGCATTTAGGAAGAGGGTATTGCCGGACGCGTAATACTTCGTGTACGTGCGTTGTTGATGGCAGTTTTGTGCGCGTGTGGGCCGAATTCACATTTACAAAGCCATAAATGTACCATGTCGATAATGAGGTGGCTAGCGAAGGCGGAGAAAACTTCCATGCTGTCGTTACAGCAGCTCGCAGACCGCTTCGAGGTTTGCCTTTAAGATAACAGCTCAGAAGAGGACGATCGCCAGATTTATGCGCTGAGCTCAGAAGGCTTTCGCTACATCCAGGCATGCCAGGGAGAGAGAGAGAAAGAGTATAACAAGGGCCAGACATATCAGAGATGTCCACTGAGCTGATCGGCACCATTTGTTGACGCGGCGCAGCAATGTTCACCAGGCAGCTTCCCATGCTGGCTGCACGGTGACATTACGGGCGCGCGGCTCTAAGCGCTCTGAGATCGCCAATGTAATCGGTTGGTAACGCTGCCCCTTGCGCTCTAATATGAAGCTACCTCTGCATCTGGCTACTCTGAGCCAGAGGACCAGAGCGGCCAACTGAATACGCCATCAGTCTCCTAGATCGTAGCGGTACGTGACAAATTGTTGGTGGGGAGTGCATGAAGCAGAGCGGCGGCTCATGCTCGTCGCCTCGTTGGTGGGGCACGGACGAAGCGGAGTGGAGGGCCTCGGCGGCTTGTACTCGTCGCCAGACAAAAACACAAACACACCAACGGATGGACATACGGTCGAACGCATGCATAGACGGACGGACACACGAACGCACGGACAGACACGTGCGAGGACGCGTGCAAGGACGACTGGCACACGCACGGACGGATGGGTGGACACGCTTCGCCCCACTCATCCCCTTGCACTCAGTGAATATGCTGTGATCTTTTTTGTATGTCGCGTTTGTACTACATATGCAAGCTGAAGAACTGGTGTATGCCGTTCGCTGATGGTTGTACGCTACGTGTAAGAGCAAATTACGAATCATAATTGCCTAAAAGACCATGCTACACTACTTACAGCATTGGCCCGTGCAATTGGGCCGCCTCAAGTCACTACAAGTACAGTTGCAAATGACCGCACGCAAAAGGGCACCCATGTTTTAAGCATTCAGTGTACACTCTAAGCCAAAAATGGCCGAAATGGGAGCAACGGCTGTTTTTACTCCTTCAGACCGACTGTTACTCTCAGAAAAGACCAAGCGGAACAAGATGGCCGACTTGTTCGAGAATGGGGGAGCAACTGTATTCATCTTAAGTTTGTAAGGGAGCAACGGAAGGAGGAACCGCTGTAAATGCTCTCATCACGCAACGGTTACTCCCCGGCAGGACACCGCACACAAATATGCATGCCGCCCACATTGATATTCATGGGCCAGATTATTGTTTGTTCTGTGTGCCAAACTTCACCAAACCAAAACAGTGATTTATTTTAGCATCCGTAGATAATAAGATAGCAGCGCTGGCTGAACACAGAAAGCCTGAGAATACAGTACGGCAAATACCTAACACACGCAGCAGCAGAATGGAGAGTTGGCACGTCAAAGCGGACCGAACGCCGAAACACGTGCAAAACAACGATAAAAATAGCCTAGACACGCCGTTCGTCCACGAAGTAAGGGCGTCAAAGTCGATCAAGCACCGAAACACGTGCATGAAGAGCCCCCCCCCCCCCCCCCGCCCAGATATATCGGAGAAGAAAAAAAAAAAAAAAGCGGACCCAGACGCGCATCTCATCAGCCATACACTTAGTAGCATGCTTCACCGTGTAGTTTGAGGGCAGAATGACAAATCTGCGCCATCTCCGCCCGCACGACAAGTGTGGCGCTAGCGTAGCAAACGATGTAAGTTACAAAGTAATTTTTATTCAGTGTTTATGTTGACTAGCACTGAATAAAAATTATACTCAACCTTTTATGTTTATTTATGGGTTTTAGTGTACCTCAGTTTTTTTTTATTCCAATTTGTCTAACAAGCAGTAACCTGTTTGGCTGTGAACCAACAAGACGTTGAACTAATAGAAGCATCACATCTTGTTGCTCTCAAATATATGTATTGGCAACCTATCTGTGACACTGTCAAACAAAGAATCAGAATATCTGTGCATGCCTTAAGATATATTGCTTCCTCGACAACCGAGTGAACAAATGCACCCTAGTTTACTAAATTTAAAGAATTTTTTCAAGGTAGCACGGTCTACATTTTTTGTCTATAGTTTTGTCCAGCCGTTTGCGTCAGGTGCAAAGAAATATACTGAAGATTATCATGTAGCCTCTGCAAATGGTTGCTTTCAAGCAGGCTTTGCCTGCTTGGCTTGTGCCTACAGGTATTGCACAATTCAAGACGCAGCAGCGTATGATAGAACAGTAGAATCGAGAGCATCTATGTGCACGAGCTAAATAAGTATTTTAACATGAGCGGACAGTACGTGTTATTTGCCACACACATGACCACACTTAGAATGCCCATTGGTGAATGGGCTCATAGAAATGTCACTCAGCTGTGTATAGGAAACAAGTTAGCTGAACCTAAGGGTATCTTTAACTGCTACAAATATGCCTTGTTGAGGTGCTGCACATTTTCTTCCAGAATATTGCTGTCTGAGACATCATGTGAAGAGCGTCTATCACATCAGCATTTATATGGCTTGCCAAGTAACGTTTGGCCGAACCTTCCTTTTTTCACATTTCGTTTTGCAGTAGACATCCTAGAATGTAAGCGCTGCTGCAGTGTGTGTGACTCATTGTTATGAATTGATTCTGGCATGTTTAACCTCACACTTCTTTTTTTTTTTCTTGCAGCAATGAGATGCTTCACATATGCCTGCGGTGACGTTCCGCTGCGCTAGCCTGATGGAAACACCAGCTGCGAAACTTGAGTTCTTCAGAATTGGAGAAGTTGCCCTTCTCTCACCAATGATGACACAGACTGCCCTATGCTAGAAATTCAAGATTGTTTATCCACGGATGACGCAGAAAACCTTTGATGTATTGTGTTTGTTTAGTGCTGGCTGTGGTGTGGCGAAGTCTACTTTTACGTGTGGTCACACGTCGCCTCATAAAAAGAACAATAAAGCATTTATTTGCCTTTCAATATTGTCCACTTTTTGTGTTAGAAGCACCCAAGCAGTGCTCTTCCAAGGAGCTCTCGCCATGTGTTAAGCGTGTGACAAGCATACTCGAGATAAATACTCATTTCCCCAAGGAGTAACTGGAAGCATGTGCAGTTGGTTTTCAGAGAGTAACTGCGAACACGTGGGAGGAACGGTAATGGTGCATTCAGACGACGGATCGAATCCCGATGTGGCGGGACGGATGGCGCGTCACGTGACCTCACATCAGCGATTCCCCTCGTCCGCGACTCGGCTGGACGGATGAACCCAACCTGTTTCTCACATCGGGATTCTGGCGGGGGAGAGCCGGTACTTCAGCGGAATAGCTTGGGGTCGGTGGCAACCAGTACACTTTTCGTCTGCTCGCGGCATGTCCTCCATGGCTCGCGGACAGCTGCATGACTGGTCGGCATCATCTACGCTTGAGCATTGTTTACTTATCTTCCGGAGACTTTGTTCTCGGGTGATTAAATATGCAGAAATCACTTTTGGTGGTTCGGGAAATGTCGCCGCCATCGCTTAACACGCGAGATTCTTAGCCGTCATTGTGGTGAAATATTCCAACTTCTGCAACCGGCGACGAGCCGCTTCTAAAAAAAAAAAAGCGGGAGACGCGTTTAGAAGTTCTACAAGTGGGGAACAATGTAGTTGAAAGAATATCCTGCTAGCAACTCCCTTTTCTCTTGAAAGAATAACACTACTCGTTCATTTGTCACAACACGACAGACATCGCAGCCAAGCTTCGCTTCTTGCGGGCATCCATGTTGAATACTCTCAAACCGGTCTGCTGCCAGCGGGCGCAGGTGAGCGCCGAATCTGCTTTCGAGGGTAATCCGGCTGTTTTCCCCTAGGACACCGTAAGTCGTGTGGATGCGCCTGCAGGCGGACCATCCGCGGATTAGCTGTCCGCGTCCACGACAAATCCGGATTCGGTCCCTCGTCTGAATGCACCATAAAGAGTAACTGTTGCTCTTAGAAGAGCAACTGGTGGGAGTAATGGTTGGTCGGCAGGGAGCAACTGGTGGGAGTAACTGTTGGTCTGCAGGGAGGAACTGGAGGGAGTAACTGTTCATCCCCCGAAGGAGGAACTGAAAGGAGAGCAACGGTTCCTCCCTCTGCAGTTACTCCTTTTAGGAGAGTAATGGGAGTGGCAATGCAATTGCTCCCTGAAAGGAGCAACCCCTATACCCCTGTTGCTCCGTTTTGGCTTAGAGTGTAATGTATGTGACGGTCGAGCCGCACCGCGGTAGGCATTGCGCGGACAATTTTTCACACCATGACACGGGAGGAGCGGGTGGGGTATACCAATTTTAGCAGGGGCGCTGCCCGGTCGCCACCGGAGCAGCTGCATGCTGGTTAATAGGGAGTTTTAGAATACCGTTTGCAAGCGCTGCGGGCGTTGCGGGCGCGTAGCGGGCGCCATATGAGTTTTAAAATAGCGTTTGCCCTGCGGCGATCCGCAACGCCCGATTGCTCCGACACCGTAGCCTTGAAACCAGCGCTTGCGGGCCACAAGCGGGACGCCATAACCGCACGCGATTTCAGATTGTTTGCGTGCGGTCCACGAACACGAACGCCGACTCGCGTTACGACGCATGCGCAGTGGCAGCGACCGCACCGCAAGGGCTTGTGGTGCGCTATTCTAACACTCCCTAATATTTTTCTGGATGCGCAGGAGCTTTTGGTCGCGGCTGTGTCCGTTCGTCGGTGACCCTCAACTCCCCCACTGCGCATGCGCCAGCTCTGCCCTTCTCTTCGCGAGAGCGCGAGAAGATTGGGCTGAGGAGGTGACAAAGCGCTGCCTACCGTTCGTTTAGCAGCTCCGATTCATTTCTCCACCATAGCTGTGCGCTCGTGCATAATGTTACGCGCGGTCGCAGCCGTGGCATTCTACAAGCAGCGCTGGGTGTTCACATGGCGGCACGCACAGACATGGTAATACACACAAATGGAGAGGTGTAACAAGTGATGCAATAGAAAGAAAGACGCACTGCGTAGCACTATCTTTAACTGGTTCCGAAATCGAAAATTACAAAGTGGTTCTTCATTCAGTCATTATTGACTAGTTACACAACCGTGCCACAACCGCTTGAAAAAATATGGGAAACAACACACAATGTAGCTCCACATGTTGGCGTTTCTTGCAATCCCTTCTTTACGTTTTCTCTTTCTATTTTAAGGTCGTCACTGATTGTAGAAGTAATCACTCTTTGTAAGCAGTGATAGGCGTCGACAACGTACTTCGTATGCGCGTGTGTAAGGCCTATGTGCTGCGACCTCACTACAAGCGCCTCAGTATCTTGACGGTGCCTCCCGCTGTTTACAAACTACCAGGAAGTCTACTCGTGGTGTGCAACCAAGCTGCATTGACGCAGCACTGACCTTTTTAAAGAGCACAACTCCGTCCTTGCTGGCACCAAGCTCCTTGTACACTGCGTCCTCCGAAGTGATTGCAAAAGCGTGCTCTTCGATGGTATACGCAGCCTTGAGGAATTCTTTGGCCTCCACGCTCGTCTGGTCCTTGAAGAAGCCCACGACGGTGACGTTCGCGCTGTCCACGAAGGCCCTGGCATCGTCCACGGTAGTTAGTAGCTGAGCCGGAGGTTGGACCTTCTTCTTGATCCACTGGGTCATCTCCTCTACCGTGTGGTCACGCTTGTACTCGGCCGGTTGTCCGTCTCGGAAGAACGTGAGGGTTGGCAAGCCGCGCGCGTAGTGCCAAAAGAGCTGATGATCGTACATGGTGTTCACCTTGGCCAGCTTGACGTCCGAGCCTTCCTCCACGAGCTGCTTAGCGGTCTTGGCATATACGGATGACAAGGCGTGGTAGTCGACCGTGAGCGGGGAGTCTGCGAGAGCAGACGCACAATTTCTCGAACACAAAGAGCAAGCGCCCTATTCGAGCACCATCTAGATTAGCGGAGTCTGAGACCTCAAACAGCTAAGGCCTCTTCACTTCTCGGTGACATCATGGGATTACAACGAGCGTGGAGGGAGCGTTCTCTTATATGACCATTGCCAGGAACTCGTTAGTTTACTAATGACCCATTGTGAATGCATTCGTTCATGCGGTTTCCCGTTTCTCGCAAGCGCCCGCAAAACAAGCAACTCCGTCCTGTTAGGGCGTTGTACGTGCTAGGAAAGTAGGATAAAAGAATGCCCAGGCTAGTTCTCCATCTTTTTGTCGAAATTAGCGGTGCCAGCATTATCCTCATGTTATGCCGTGAAAAAATAAGCTCTAAATTTATTTATATGCAAGTAATATCACGTCTACATCACCTACCGTTTGATTTAGCTTGTCATGCAGTGTTGCGCTCTTTTTCCTTTGTTTTTCACGGTTATCGAGCGCGATCGCCCGATTTGAAATCATTTTGTTATTTGATGGTTTTTTTGTTTTTTACTTCGGTGTGGCGAGGATAACAGTGCGCAGCCGAAAAGCGCGGGAATATGATACGCTCAAACTGTTAGCGCCAATTTTGTCCACCTGTTTTATGAAAAAAGAAATGGTGAATATAAAATGGCACCTGCAGGAAAGTAGTGAAAGGAACCATGAACTGGCTTTTTTTTCAACCCAGTTTTTTTTTAACGTGGCACAGAGCTTATCCTTCGTATTGTTGGTATACATCAGTAGTTAACCCGAAAAGCACGTAGACATTTTTACAAGCATTGTTTTTTGATATCGAAGGCTCTGAACGAGAATGTCGCTTTTTGTCCAGCAACGCCGAGAATCGTTAGCAAAGCTGGTAGCCCTTCTGGTGATTTGCGCATGCTTCCGTTGTTCTACTTTCGCAGGAATTTTTGTAGCTATGCTTAAAGGGGCCCTGAAACACTTTTTCAAGTAACCATGGAATGGAGTCGCTAAAAGAGCTTATCGCCTCACGAATTTCACACCGCAAAAGTTTTAAGAATTTGTCCAGTACGAGCGCATTTGGCGCACGCTCCAATCGCATTCTCTCTTGTCTCGTCCCGACGGAAGCACTGGAATCTTAAGCTCCGCAGCAAAACGATCTCCGATTTCTTACACATATGTTTATGCATCACCGTCCCAAAGCAATAAATTGCTACCGCAACAGCGAAAAAAACATTAGTTGCCACCTCAGTTTTTGCTGTAAACGTAGTCTTTATCTACATCGTTAGTCTGACCGTGTCCAATGCAGGACAAAAACCTCTCCCATGTTTAACCAGTTAACCCGGTCCTGTGCTTGCTGCTGCCAATTTATACCCGCAAACTTCATAATCTCATCTGCCCACCTAACCTTCTGCCGCCTCTAACCCACTTAGCATCTCTGAGATTCCAGTTAGTCATCCTTATTGTCAGCGGTTATCCTGTCCGCGCGCTACATATTCAGCCCATGTTCACTTTCTCTTCTTGATTGCAACCATGATATCCTTAACACCGGTTTGTTCCCTAACCTATTCTGCTCTCATCTTGTCTCTTAAGGTTAGACCTACCATTTTCCTTTCCAATGTTCACTGCGTTATCCTGAATTTAAGCTAAACCCTCTTTGTAGGTCTTCATATTTCTGCTCCGTACCTAATTACCAGAAAGATGCAGTTGTTATATACCTTCCACTTGAGGAATAGTGGCAATTACCTGTCATGATTTGAGAGTGCTTGCTAAATGTGCTCCACCCTATTCTTATTCTTCTAGTTATTTCAATCTCGTGGTGCGGCTCCGCGGTTATTACCTGTGCTAAGTAGGTATAGTCTTATACAACTTCAAGTGCCCTATTACCTACCTCGAAGCGGTGCTCTCTTCCGAGGTTGTTGTACATTACTTTCGTTTTCTGCACATTAATTTTAAGACCCACCTTCCTGCTCTCCTTGTCTAACTCCGTAATCATCCGTTGCAATTTGTGCATGATTCACTCAGCAATGCGATGAACAAAATTTGAATTTGCCAGTTTTCAAATTACCAAGGGACGTAGGAAAGCTTCAATAGTCCTTCCCGTTGTACGAATCGTGCCTAAAACGTCGTCTGGTAGGCGTTGCGTGCCAGCAAGGCCACTGTAAGTGTCCTTATGACAACTTTGCAGCGCGAACAAATGGGGCAAGTACGGAGGTACTCAAACACTTTCTTGCGTTAGCATCGGGGTCGCAAATTTAGGGGCCCGAGCGCTTGCCGCTTGCTTAAAAAACTCGCTGCACGTGCTGTGTCCGAGATTTGTGCAGCAACATGACTGTCTCGAGACCTCCGCAACACCTTTCAGAATCACGGACAGTTGGACGGCATATGCGGACGAACCTTGAAAATGTAGCGGCGATATTGCCACCTTCTGAATTAAGGCTCACTGCGCATTCTCGGTGAGGTTATGGCATAATGGACTAGTAGTGAGGGTTCTGGTCTTCGTGGTTTCATTGCATTGGATGACGAGGCGCGAACGGCAGGTGATCAGCGCATTCTATAGCATTTCTTGCTAAAATTAGCAGTACCAAACACATTTTGAGGCTGGTTCGCTATTTTGACAGAGCCTAAGGTAATTTCAACAAATCTAACGGTTTTCGTTCAGCTATGTCCAGAAGCAAGGAATGGTATCACATTGGCCCAATTGGCACAGCTGTTACATCCGTGCTGTGTTTTCGCAGCAGCGCATTGGAGGCACCGATCAAAGCACTAAAGTGACCAGTTGAGATCAGCCGTGCACTTCACCGTCGAGCAAGAAGCTATGATGAAGCCTCGCAGCTGCGCTTAAACTAATACCGCTGTACTATCCGTGAATTTATACTGCGTGACGAAAGCAAAGCTGTCCCTCTAGTACCAGCCATCCTGCGACAGGGCGGCTTGACCGATCACACAATTGCAAAGTTACACTGAATTTCTTCAAGAAAAAAAAGCAAAAACACGTGGGCTCCCGGCTTACGCTCTGCGGCTTCTGCCTACCGAACGATCAACGGACAACTAAAGAAAGCACATCCGCTTTTTGGTGGCATCTATTGGCAAACGAAAGTGAGTCGTGGCCATGTGGTCGTGCCCGATGGCCAAGTGCCACTTGATTGCACTGCTGCCCCGTTCTGGCAATGGGAAATGCCGCCAAAAGTGGACGTTTTGTTAAGCCGTCGGTCAATGGAGCTGTGGGCAGCCGCCGCAGAGCGTGGTCAAAGTGTTAGCACGTTGCTTTTCAGCAATGAGAAGACAGCGTCGCCATACTCACAGAACATGACAAACACGTGCTTGTGCTCCTTGATGGCCATGTCGAAGTTGCTGCCGTTGAGAACGAGCACCTGGTCCTCAACATCGTATTCCGTGCAGTTGGCCGCCGCTAAGCAGCACAGTAGACCGAGTAACCTTGGAGAAAACATGATTCCTCTGCGTACGTGCCGCTGTCAGAAAAAAAAAAGTCCTGTGTACGTATTCGACAAGCGAACTAGTTAGCAGCGCAGCGCACAACCAACTGAGAGTACGACAGTGTGATGGGACGACCAGACCAGAAGGCCACCATATGAACGCGGCACCTAGTCACGTGACTTCATTCCCACCAATGACGCTTCAAGACGCGCGTGACGACTCCCGCCAATGGAGCATGCGCCATGGTGTCGCCCTGCGCTGGGCTCTTTTCAAGTTCCGCGTTCGTATCGTAGCTCTTTGCATAGCATCCTTCTGTAAATGTCATTCGCCATGATTACCACGGCTTATCCTCTTCGCAAGTCACAACATTTTTTTTCGTTTTTTTTTCTATCCTGCTGTTTTCTCTTTTCTCTCACATCCCCCTCTCGCAAGCGAAATTCCAGTTTTTATATATTTGTTTATATGAAAAAAGAATCACACACACACCTGCCACCTGCGTGACGAGTTTGTGCTTCGCACTGGTGACAAACTGATATTCTTGGCCTATAGGAACGATAAAATAAATAAAAAAAACACATGTCAGGAGAAGCGCATACAGCAGTCATGTTCCCTGCGAGTGATCTGCTCTACCAGCATAAAGAGGGGAAATCTCCATTATGGACGCGAGGGGCAGGGGTTCTTGCTTCGGCATGAAATTTCGGGGAGTCACGCTTGGTAGGTAACAGCAGACACCCATGGAGTCAGACTTCGTCGAAAATGGTTGTCAAAGCAGTGCTCGCGCAAACCTGGTTTTCAGGAGTTCACGTAGCACGCTGTGGCAGTCTCAACGATAAAGGAATGGCACAGGTGACCGGTTTCCGGGACTGCAAGAACTTGACATGCGGCGCTGTTTTTTCACAAACGCGCCGATATGGCAGGTGTAGAGAAGATTTTAACTTTAAAAACATTGGGGAACCGCTGGAAATCACTCCATCGAGGAGGGGGGGGGGGGGCAAGTGTGATTAAGATGTGTTTGCTCGCAACTCTAGGGCAAAGAAAATCATTTTAATCTGCTGATAAGAAATAAACAAGTGTTTTTAAGATGTGGGGTTTCCGAAGGGCTAACAGCAAGACTGGTATCTGTCCGCCGGCTATTCCTTCTTTGAGAAACGGAATGTCCTTGGCAATCTCGCTATCGGCGTGCTGATCTGTTTCCGTTGTGACTGTACGTTTGCAAGCATGACACCAGCTCTGAGAAAGTCATCGTGCGCTCGAGCGAAACATAGTCTCCAGTGGTGGTTAGTGGTTTTTCAGCTACCTAAGGCTAAAAAAAAACAGGAAATTTAACAAAATTTTTTACTCTAGTCAGTTATAAACTGATCAGGCTATAAAGGTTAACTACTTTTTGTTTTGCTGATGAAAAAGAGAAGTCCATCATTTCAAATAAAGAGCCAATACTCACGTGAAAGTAGTCACACACGAAATCAACTGCTTCCATATAATTTACACAGTGGATAACTGCTTGAATAAAACGTGGATGCTTAAAAGCATGCCAGTGCTCACCGAGATTTCACTGATGTGCTTTCTGATCGGTCTGGAAGTAGTGTTCGCCTGCAAATAATGCACGTTAGGAGATCACGAAGAACAATCGGGATAATGTCTAGACAGGCGTTCTGCCAGGGAATCGAGCTTTCAACTTGTTGGTTCTCGAAAACCTAGTGTTAATTGGTGCTGTTGTAATTTTCATGTGCTGGTGTACAATACACACGCAACTTCTTTTATGGTAACATCTAATGCCCGTTTCAAAAGCTCATAACTATGAAAGAGGGGTCAGCCAGTTTTTATTTTATTTATCTGAAAACTTAGCGGCTCGTGATTCGGTGCAAGAAAATTTCTCAGTGGTTAGTAACTGGCTTTCCTCTAGTCATTTTAAAAATATATGGCGTTGACCTCTTTTACTCACTTTGCCGTAAGGATAAGTAGCGCAGTTTTTAACATGGCCAAGAGGGATAACAAGGACATGACACTCGCTACATCTGATCCGTCTTGTTCATTTTAAAAGGTGTGCTACTTAACCTTACGCTAAAATGATCAATTACCAACTAGCCCAGTTATTAAAATTATTGACCATCTTTTATTGGTACTGTTTCTCATGTCGACAGTAAACATAGCTAATGTTCAATAGCGTAGCCAGGAACCTTTTTTCTGGGGGGGGGGGGGGGGGGTTCAACTATGGTTCTTGTTCGTGTGTGCGTTTGTATGTGTGCGTATTCATCTACGCAAAAAATTTGAAAAAAAATTTGAAAAAATTTTAACCCTCGTTGGCGGCACAAATGGTGACGTCACTGTGAACGAGCAGTGGGCGAACTTAAGGATGGCGTCAACACAGGTGTAGTTTCTGGGGCATCTAGCAGGTTTAAGGTTCGACACTAGTAGCATTTCGACAGAAGCGAAGTGCGAGATAGTTGGTGCATGTGATTCCACTAGGTACGTTTTGCAGTTGCGTGTAGTAGAACAATAAGAGGGCCAACGAAATTGATTACAACTAAAGCATATTGAGCGTATATATTATAGGACATGTAGCCCAAGGTTGTAAATTATGCGTTCAAGCGTTATTCTAGTGAATATAACCTGGTAGATGTAAATGAAACAAGAGAATTAAACAATGTCATTGTTTAGATTTACATAATGCGCTCTGCGTCCTTTCACACTATATATTTCACAATGATAAGCTCATTATTAGTGATTAAAATCAAGGTTGAAGATTGCTTCATAAATTTCGATTTCAATATTTTGTGTGACAAAGGTGGTATGCATATTTAGCCTACGGGGCTGCTCATGCACAATGGCGATCTGCTTCATGTAGATACCCATGCAAGGTCCTGCAACAGATTATTTTTCGCAATTCGTCTACTGTAGTCAGACGACGTTATTAGTGGACAAGCTAAGTATTTGAAAAGTGAAGGATTGTTTGTACTACAAGTAATCTGATGCGAATAAAGCCTGTCTCTATAAGTCGTCGTTTGGTTGTTGTGTTGCGTCCGCGCTAAATACTGAATATAAGGAAAAGCTTGTTAAACTGACGTCATTTCTACTCTGCAGGAAATTGTTTATAATAATAATACTGGCAGGTAATATGCGAATTCTTCAGGTTTGTCACTGACAAGAAGCTGGGTCCACGTGCCATTTCCTCGGTCTTTGCAACTCCAAGCGTTTTGGAAAGTCGTTTTTCAGGACTGTGCTCTGTCCACAGCTTGGTCGCAAGTTACAAAGACGTGGAAACTTGGAAGTCGCGGCCTGCCGGCTGGCCTGCCAGCTGAGGGGGGGGGGGGGGGGTCTGAAAATCTGTACAGGAATTTTCAGAAGAGGACGAGGACGGGGGTTAGCTTATGAATGACGAGGACCGGATGGGTTCAAGCAAAGCCTCGTCACTGCGTCTGCTGCCACTTTTTAGCCCGCGGAAAACACGTAGGGGTGCTTCCCGCTTTGCTGCTTTTAGAAACTTTCTTGCTTATATGTCTTTTGTGTGCGTGCGTGTGTGGAACGCAGACGCGGCTTTGCCCTTGGTTCGATTCGCCACCGGGAGCTTTTCTTTTTTGCACAAACGAACTCAACCAAAGCCCAAAGCGACATTCCCAAGCAGTGTCATTGACAACGGCTTTTCTTTTTTTTTTCGACTACAAAATTGCTCGCAGCCTCTCCGACTCATCTAATACTACTATTGAGACAGTAGATGGGAATTTCAGTACCTTTCGATGTCGGTTGGTGTTTTGTCAACGAAGAAATTATGCTATCATAGCATTTCTCTCATCAGAACAACGGGGAACGGAAGGGATCCAGCCTATAATATTTTACAATTGTCTATTCAAGCGTCTCCCTATAAATTCAAAACACAAGGTAACTGAAGACCACTTCTGAACTCAGCCTAAGGTTCTGCTGCATCAGGGCAGCCGATAAAGTAAAATGTGAAGTATGTCATGTTTCTGAAAGTAAAAAAGCAGCTCTCGGATTGTACGGCTGCCTATATTTTAAGCATCTAATCATGAATAGGGAGGCCCGTTAAAAAATTTCTCCATAAAGTAAGACATCTCCATCAGGCTGAACGAGTAGAGCAGTAGTAGGAGCAGCAACAACAAAAAAAAGTGGGCGATGTCACAATGCTTATCAGAATAGCCACTTCAAGACAAAACTAAATATCACTCAATAGAGATAGTGGCGCTCCATCATATGTTTATCTATCGTCTCCCACACACCATTCTCCAGATTAGTCCTACTGTTATTGTTGGACGAGATCTCCCGCAAACAAGGATATTGTTCAACGAGAATAAAAAAAAAACAAGTTGCTTTGTCGATCATTTTCGCCATGACGGGGTCTGCAAGTCCAGAGCGTAAATTGAGAAGGCCACGTTTTCCAAGAAAGAAGGCTACAATGTGGCCAGAGACCCATCCGAAATTCCGCTACATACCCCGTTTCTTCTCGCTTGTTTCCTTATTTACCTTCTCGAAAAGAAGTAATCGTTTATGGTCGCGTGCTTAAATCCCAGCAATTTATACACCTTACTAATCAAAGCGCGCTGCTTATATAATGCGGGGCAGTGGACTATAATAAGTTCAAGTGATTAGCGAGAGTGATGCCTTGAAATAATGTAATCAATGCTTGATTGGTCGAGAGTGGCGTGGAAACCGCAGACGCTGTGTCATCGCCACATTGATTGATGGGAAAACCGAAGTGGCATCTGCATGAATGAGTGGGTCAATTGAGCGGACAAAAAAAGGGAGGCTAGATACTTGCAAATTGTTGATTGGTTTGTTCTTTCTTCAAAAACAATGACACGTACCCACGCTGGGGATTGGCCAATAATGAGTAGTTCAGAATTCGAAAGGTCATTTGAAAATGTTAGAAGATACAGAAATAAAAACAAACTAGTAAAGATAGGTATTAAGACGAATTCAAACTACAAGTACTATTATTTTGAGATAATATACAAAGCTGCCGTAAAGACCTGACCAGAACACTTCACAAAACAATATTCAA